GTCCTGCGCCACAGAGCTCAGCTGGCTGAGCCCCCCCGTGGCCCCCCTCCCTCCCTCCCTCCAGGTGTAAATATAGAAATCCAAGCATAGTACAGAATATTTTGTTGAAATACAGACTTTTTAACCCAGAAGACTGGGCAGCCCTTGTGTTGGGGTGTGTGTCTGGGGGGGGGGGGGGGGGGAACCCCAAGGGGGGCCGGAAACCGCAGGAGGTCACATAGCCCCTCTGCAGACTGCCTTGGTCAGGCCGCACCTGGAGTCCTCCTGTGTGCAGTTCTGGAGGCCTCTCTTCAGAAAGGAGGTGGACAAAATCGAGGAGAGGGTGCAGAAGAGAGCGACGAGGACGATCAGGGTCTGGAGACTGAGCCCTACGAGGAAAGGCTGAGGGACTTCTTGGGAATGTTTAGTTTGGAGGAGAGGAGACTGAGGGGGGACAGGACGGCTCTCTTTCGATATCTGAAAGGCTGTCATGTGGAGGCGGAGGGCAAGGAGCGGTTCCAGTGGGCAGCAGAGGACAGGACCCAAAGCCACGGGTCCAAGTGACATGCAGAAAGGGTATCGGCTGGATAGTAGGAAGAACTTTTCCACGGTCACAGAGTGGTCCAAAGGTGGGATCAGCTGCCGAGGGAGGTGGCGAGCTCCCCCCTTCACTGGCAGCTTCCAAGAAGAGGAATATTTGTCAGAGATGCTTCAGGCCAGTCCTGCATTGGGCAGCAGGGGGCTGGACTAGATGGTCTCTGTAGGGCCCCTCCCAACTCGTATGATCCTATGAGTGCCCGAGTGTGGGTGGTGGGTGTGTGTGCCAAATGGCCAGGGTGGAGGAGGGGCAGAGACGACCTTTGCCGGCCGAGGTGGAGTCCCAACCCAGGGGCCAGAGGGCCCGGCGGTCTTCTCTGGCTCCGTCTCCTGGCCAGGGAGAAAAGGATGCCGCCTGCTCCTGCAGCTCTACAGTGAGTGTGTGTGGGGGGGGGGTGTGGGGGTGGCGGCCCCTTCCCCCAGAGGCCAGGAGGCTCCCCCCACACACCGGAGCGCTCACACCATGACGACAACGCAGCCGGACCCGTCTCAGGGGCCCATTTATTCTGTCAGAGCTTTGGGTAGTTCTCTGGGCCGTAAGGCATGGGCGGGTCGAGGGACTCTGTCACAGGAGTGGAGAAGGAGGCGTTCTTCTTGAAGGGGGTGTCACCGGTCTGGATATTGGAGACCCCCTAGAGAGAGAGAGAGAGAGAGAGAGAGAGAGAAGGGCCAGGCGAGTTTCCCTCCGGCCCCTGCTGCTGGGAGGGGTGTCTGGCTGGCCGGTCCGAGAGCCCTGTGTGGCCAGTCGGTCGGTCCTTGTGCCTGCTCTAGCAGCCTGGGGGTGGGGGTGGGGGTAGGCCAGCTGAGAGTGCCGCCCCCCCCCTTTCTGGCCACAGCCCAGCCCCTGGACAGATAGATGTGGGGACGGGAAGTGGGCGACGGAGGGGAGGGGTGTGTGTGTCTCACTCACAGGCACCTGTCGGGCATGTTCCCGCCAGAAGGACTGCGGCTGCTCCATCCGGTAGTTGTGGGGCTGCGGAGAGCAACAGTTGCCTGCTAGCCAGAGCCCGGGGGG